TGGGTACGGGCTGGGAGGGATGGGGAGGGGCACCGGGCAGGGGATGGCACTGGGGCAGAAATGGGGGTGGGAGGGGGACGGGTACCGGGGTGGGAATGGGCACTGGGATGGACTGGAACAGGTGCTGGGATGGACTGGGAGAGGAATTTGGGGAAGATGGGGATACAGAAGGGGACAAACAGGGGCTGGTACTGGGCAGAAAGGGGGGTAGGATGGGGACAGGAGCCACAGTGGGGAGGGGCACTGGAGTGGGAATGGCACTGGGACTGGGACTGGGACTGGGAGGGGAGCTAGGGGAGGGTGGGGACACAGAACCCCACCCCTGTGGGGACAGGTGGGGGGGTGGCACTGGGACAGTGTCTGGACCAAGGCACTGAGATGGGCACTGGGACAGAAATGAGGGTGGGATGGGAACAGGAACCATGGTAGGGACTGGCACTGGGACGGGAATGGGCACTGTGACTGTGATGGACTGGGAGGGGAGCTCGGGAAGTTTGGGGACAGGCAGAGGGGGTGGCACCAAGAGGGTTCCCAGGGGGACACAGAATGTGGGGGGTGTCCCCAGATGCAGGGGCACTGGGCATCGTGTTGGGGTCTGGCACTGGACTGGGAGGAGGGCTGGGGACAGGGAAGGGGTGGCACCGGGAGGGGCCAGGGGACACACTGAGGGTCCTGTGCCCGCAGGGGCACTGGGCATCATGTTGGGGTGCTGCTACCGGCTGAGCTGCATCGCCTTCCTGTGCCCGTACTGGTACCTGTTCCTGCTGGACAAAACCTCCTGGAACAACCACTCCTACCTCTACGGGCTGCTGGGCTTCCAGCTGGCACTGCTGGGCGCTGACCGCTACGGGTGGGCACCCAGGGGGACGGGGAGGCACTGGGGACCCCGGGTCAGGGGCTCTGTGTGGCAGCAGGGTGGGTGACCCCAAGTGACACAGGGCCTGGGGGTCCCCGTGGGGTGGCCCCCAGAGGTTGTGAGGTCCCCTGTGGCACCAGGGCCCCAGCTGGGTGGCCCAAACCCTGAGGTGCCCTCTGGCACCAGGGTCCTCGTGGTGCGTGTGCTCAGGGGGTGTCCCCATGGGGTGGCACAGGCTCTGGGGTCCCCCTTGGTTTTGGTGTCCCTAAGCGTGTGGCACGGGTCGTGGGGTCCCCTGTGACAGCAGGTTCCCTCGTGGCACGGAGTCCCCCAGGGGGTTGCACAGGTCCTGGGGTCCCCAGTGGCACTGGGATCCCGGGGGGTGGCTCAGGCCATGGTGTCCCCAGTGGGTGGCACAGGACCTAGCACCAGGGTCCCCATGGGCTCTCTGTCCCTGTGAGGTGGTGACACGTGTTCCCACAGCTCTGGCAGTGGGGTGACAGTGACCTGGCCCCCCCTCTGTCCCCGGTGTCCCCCCAGGTCCGTGGACGGGCTGTTCCGTCCCCGCAAGCGCAACGCCCACGTCCCTCTGTGGAACTACGCCCTGCTGCGTGCCCAGGTGAGTGCCCCT